GTAGCCACGAGGTTGGGGTTGTGTGGTAGAGGGAGTGGGGGCGGGCGGAGGGAGTGGGGATGGTTTGGGGGGCGCGGAGGGAGTTGGGCGGGGGTTGGGGGGTGCGGAGGGAGTGGGGTGGGGGGGGACTGTCAACTGTTCTCTGCTTTGTGAAGAGTGGAACCAGAATGCGCAGTGTTTGCAGAGTGCAGCCTGAGGTTTACACCGAACAAATGGTTCATTTTTTTGCCTCGGGGGGAAAGTCGCTGAAGGTCATCGGGAAGGTTAGGCTCCCGCAGCTCAGGGGGGGGGGGGGGGAGAGTGTTCTTTCCCTCCCCGAAAGCGCTTGGGAGGTGTCTCGACGACGGGATAAGGCGCTGTGTCAAACGTTATTGCTGGAGCGAGACCCGCGAGGTCTGAAGTCGGTCGGGAAAGCCGGAGCAGAACCCAAAAAAAAAAAACAACCTGAGCGACCGGTGTGAAAGTACAAGACCGTGGCCGAGGGACTCGCTTCCCACATTTATTTCACGGGGGGGTGGGGGGGGGGGAAAAAAAATGTTTCTGTTAAAATTTTCCTACAAAGACATCGGGAAGGAAGGAGCAGGAACTGCGGTTCGAACTGAACTCTTTATAAATACATCTCGTTTAACATCCAAAGATGTTGGGCACTCGCGCGCACGCGCGCACGGCAGTATTCTCGGTCTACATGGAAGACACATCTTTTGTGATTACTGCACTAAGTAACAGTACAAACTAGTCGCCATTCACATAAAAAGGAATACAAATTATACAAATGATCAAATCATTACATCATCTGCACACGGGGGTTCACGGCTCAATGTACAGTTTATACAGGTTTGTATTAGGGCGTGAGTGACATGGTTTCACAGTGGGAGTGAGGAGGCAATCTGTGCAAAAGGGGGGGTGTGGGTGTGGGGGGGGGGGGGGCGATGTGGTGGAGCGAAGTTGGTGTCCGGGTCTGGACACATAACCTGGCTCCTGACAAGCGTCTGTCAGGCAAATATTTGGAGCCCTCGGGCACAGTATTGAGGTGTGCAGGAAGTACGTGTGTAAACATTATCATACAAGAGAGAGAGGGAGAGAGAGGGAGAGAGGACGCGTGACATTTGAACGCAGGTTTTTTTTCCCCTTTTCTTTCTTTTTCGCTGTTTAATTAAAACGATTTGATTTCTGGGACGTGGGAACCACGTTCCCTCGACCTCCTCCGTCCGTGCAAAGTGTAAATGTAAACCACGTCTCCCCCAAATATATCCCAAGCCAGGAACACAAAGCGAGACGTGCCGACGGTTTCATAGTCACGAAACTGGACGGAATGTTTATGTGTGTGGGGGGGGGGACAGCAGGGTAGAGTCGGGAATACAGGGCGAGAGGTGAAGGAGTTAAATATAGTGAGCGAATATTAAATATAGTTCTCATCTGCCTGGTTCACCCACCATTTCTACCCATCCAACCAGATCCTACAGCCAGTTCCTCAAGTACTTCATCCATCAAACAGACTAGAGGTTGTCCATCAATGTCAGTGTGTCCTGTGGAGCGCTTTGAGACGTCTCGACAACGTGATAAGGCGCTGTATCAAGTGCCAGGATTATTATTATTATTATTATTATTATTATTATCACCCCCCACTCAGGTGCTAATCCCTGACTGTTCAACGCCTTGGGATGTCCTCCTGACCTGAAAGGCGCTTTACCAATGTAATTTTGTAATTATTAGTATTAGTTATTATTATTGTCTTGACTAGATTCAGTGGGCGCCAACCGCATTGGGCTTTTGGACGCTGGAAACAATCTGGTTGTAGCCGAATGTATGTGAAGATGGAATAAACCAGACTCACAGAATCGTAGCATGTCCGAGCTCAGAGCCAGGCCACCGGCCCAGGTGGTGACAAGATTCTTCTGCTGCCCCTGGCACTGGCTCCACTGCCAACTACAGCAGAAAACCCAGCAAGAAAGCCATGTTACATTGCAGGAAGCAGTGACCAGAACTGCTACACATTTGGCTGCTGACGCTGTGTCAATATCTGCCATCTGGAGGGGTGGAGGTGGTGGTGGGGGGACATGACCCTCCACAGCGAGCGGAGGGGAGGGGAGAACGAAGTCTAGATCAACTCAAAAGTCTAATGGACGCAGCAGCTGTCTTGAGAGGTTTGTTTGTGATGCAAAGGCCAAAGACACTGCCCGAGACTGAGTGCAATTAAAGTGGGACTTGCTCCCGATGGGAAAGGTCCTCGGTCTACACTGGTGTATGGTTATTATTGTTGTTGTTATTGTTGGCTGGATTGAAGGAAATGAAGAACATCAGAATGTCCATGTGGCTGAGGCTGAGGGGAGGCTGAGGCTGAGGGGAGGCTGAGGCTGAGGGGAGGCTGAGGCGAGGCTGAGGCGAGGCTGAGGGGAGGCTGAGGCGAGGCTGAGGGAGGTTGAGGGGAGGCTGAGGCTGAGGGGAGGCTGAGGGGAGGCTGAGGCTGAGGGGAGGCTGAGGGGAGGCTGAGGCGAGGCTGAAGGAGGCTGAGGCGAGGCTGAGGGAGGTTGAGGGGAGGCTGAGGCTGAGGGGAGGCGCAGGGCCAGGTGGCGAGCGGTTACCGCAGTCGCAGGTCAATGTTCCGAATCGTTTGCTGAGAAATGGAAGAAAACAGCGGTAGATGGGACACGCGTATTGAGGTCTCTCCGTCACACAGTCTCTCTGACACTTTGCCAGGTGCCCGGCAAGCGAGGGGGTGGGGGGGGGGGCTGTGACCCCAGTGCATGTGACCTGCTCCCGTCGCTAAAAACCTCCACAAACATCACAGTGCAATTTCACAGGGAGGTCAGGGTCAGGGTCGAGGCGAGAGACAATGTCCCGCCAGAGTGAACAGACTGAAACTGGTTCAAATGATTCCCAGCCCCAAAACACAGGAGAAACACACAGTAACAAAATCAATCCCCTTTCCCCCCTCCCCAACCAACCAACCAAATCCCCCCCCACCACCACCCCATCCATTCACACCCAGGAGCCGGGTCTGCTCTGTGCTCAGATGCAATGCAGCTGTTAGACATCTCTGTTAAAGAGTTCCTGTCCGTGCAAAGGGCGTTGTTGTCGTCGTCGTCGTCGTCGTTGTTGTTGTGAAAGGCTCCGAGTCGACGCGAAAGGTCCTCCTTCGATCTGAGTTGGGCGTCGGACAGAGTGACAACAGACCCACATCACATCGTGTCCTAAATTTCCATCCGTTAAAAAAAAGAAGCCTCAGACGCCCTATTTCGGAATAACTTCAGTCAGTGTTTTTGCTGGTGTCGTTTGTAAAGAACTTCCGTGTCTGTTCTGTCCCGTGACCAGGGTGGGGGGGGGGGGGGGGGGGGTCGGACCGTCCGAAGGTCAGCAAAATTGTCAAGCGTTTGAGTCAAATGAAACCCCCACTCACCACCCCACCCCCACCCCACACACAGTCACCCCTCAGGGTCTTTAATCCCGATTCCTGAGCCAGGAGGGGCCGCAGTATCCCAGGGCACTCACAGCTGACGGCAGTCCAGCCCGGCCCGGCTCATCCATCGACCTGGCAGGACCTGGAAGGGCCGACCAGTCACTGGGGGCAGGGAATCCTCCCCCTCAGCTCCTGTTAACCCTGCAGCCAAAGCCCTAACTAACTAACTATAACTAACTAACTAGCAGGGAGTGGGGGGGGGGGGGTCCGAGCTGGACAAGCAGCGGGAAAGCTTGGCCAGACTAAGAGCAAACGCTCTCCCTCAAGGTACCAAAGACCCAGTTGGGGTCATGAGTGCCCCCAACTCCCCACCCCACCCCCACCTCACGTACCCACCCCCCCCCCCACCCCCACCCCCACAAACACTGAACCCGGTGACGTCACAGTAAAAAGCTGCTCTGCATGTGTGTTTTTTTTAAAAAAGTGTTAACTCTCAACCTTCCGCTTTCGTGATGTTTCTGATTTTTTAAAAATTTCCTGTGCAAATGGGATTTGGGGGTGGGGGGAAAGGGAGGGTGTGGGGGAGGGTTTGCGTGGGGTGGGGGTCACACAGTTGGACGTTACCCAGCGTGAGGGAGTGAGCTCTATAAATCCAAGTTGCTGTTGATATGTACAGGACGAGGGCAGCGTGGGGCTAAGGGCAGGAAGAAATCACTATCTTAAACTAATAATATAAACGTCGACTTGAGGGTCACAGCACCAATATTATGGGGGGGGGGGAGGAGGGGAGAGGGAGGGGGATTGGTGGGGGAAAAGGGGCCCATCTCAGGGAAAGTAAACCACAGCGTCCCCATCAGGAACTGACCCAAAAGTTCTGAAACACCAATAAAAAAAATCTTCTCATCGATCAGGAAGAGCTTACGGTTGTTGTTTGGGCCCAGAAGAGGAACACGAACAGTCACGGCCATCAGCAGGCCCTCGCCTCAGCCCGAGCGTTGAAGCTTCGATGGTGCAGGTAATATGGCAGTGAGCTTCCCCGGGGCAGGGACCTGCAGCGTTGGGAGATTGTTCGTTGCCCAGGTTATTTTTGTTTGCCTGAGTTGGGTTTATTATTGAAGAGGAGAGAGGGAGAGAGGGAGAAAGAGAGAGGGAGAGAGGGAGCGAGAGGAGCGGGGGCACACGGAGGTGGTTAAGTAACGATCGCAGCTCTTTCAGCCGCCTCCCTATCACCACACTCGGTACTTGGAAGATCCGTGGTTGGTTGTGCATCTCTGTTACACAGGAACATAGGAACAGGAGGAGGCCATTCAGCCCCTTGAGCCTGTTCATGGAGCCCTTCGGAATAAAGGGCTTTCCTGGCTATATATATATATATATATATAACTAATGTCAAACACCATTCCCATCTTCACTTCACGGCCTTGCTGAATTGTTCCCAGAAGGTCTTTCATTCTCTCCTGGAGGCTCAGTTGAAGAGTGTCCGTCTCGTGTGACTTCCTGAATATTTGTTTTTCGGGGGTGAGGATTGGGGGGGGGGGGGGGGAAGAGGGTGGGGGGGGGGGGGGCGCGGTGGGGGGACGTTTCAGAACCTGACCCCCAAAGGTCAAACCTCCACCGACTGAATTTGATTCATCTGTGCCCGCATCATTTGAATACTGTTCAAAATCTTCTTCTGATGCCCTGCCAAGGTCACCCCAACCTTCTGGATATCCCTGGGGAGCAAGACAAAGACACAGGGTAGGTAAGGTGGTGATGCCCCAACACATAAAGAGCACACAGACTACAGCAGGACATGTAGTCCGTGTAGTCAGGGCATTCAAACACACGGTCACTACACTTCACAGTAAAAATCCCGCGAAGCGCTTTGAGACATCCGAACGAGGTGATAACGCGGCAGCTCAAGTGCAAGGATTGTGATCTCAGCACCGGTGCGGCGGTCAGGCACAACTTACTCTGCCGTCATTTGAGAAACCAGGTCAAACGACGTGTAGCCCTCATTGGTGAAGTTCTCCTTGTACTGACCCATCTTAATGGCATCTAACCAGTCGTCCACTGTGCTGAAGGTAGAAAAGTCTGGGACTGTGCGATCCAGCAAAGGCAGAGTCACCCTGCAAGACAGAGGGAGACACACAGGGATGCAGAGAGCACAGGGCGCAGAGGGACACCACAGGCACGATGTGCCAGTCCCTGCGTGTGTGAGATGTTCGTGCTACACGACCAGGACTGTCAGCACTCAATGTGTTGCGTGATCTCCAGAGGACGGCAACTCACCCTGAGGTGGGGGGTGTCAGGGCCTTCAGGGTGTTTGGGTTCCTGATCATTTTATCCAGGGTGTTGACGATCTGACCAAACTTGGGCCGGTTGTTACGATCCTTTTGCCAACAGTCGAGCATGAGCTGGTGCAGGGCGGTGGGGCAGTCCATGGGGGGTGGCAGGCGATAGTCCTGTTCAATGGCATTGATCACCTGGAACAGGGTCAGGCACAGGAGGTTTAACGCAACACATCGAGAGGACGTCCGACTCCTGCTGACACAACCTTGTGATATCAGTGAAGCAGCCTGGCTCACTGAGTGCCCTCTCACCTCGCAGTCAGAGAGTGGTGGGTCCCAAACTCAGCGAGGGGGCACTCTGAGCTCACAGTCTAGGCTGAGACTCCAAAGCAGCCCTGGGGGTGGGGGGGGTTGGGGTGGGGAGAGAGCGCTGCATTGTGTGAGGTGCCGAGCCCCGTCTGCCTGTTCAGTTGGGCTGTAACGATCTCCGTTCACTTGGAATACGCAAAGCGGCTTCTCCCGGTGTCCGGAACACGCACGTGTCCCAGACGCGATGGGTCACTCGCTACATGAAGGCGCGTGGGACGTCGCTGGGTCCCAATGAGCTGCTGCGAGACACACACATTGCAGTGGATCCCGTCAAAAGCCCTGGAGACACGTCCTGCCGAGATGTGAAGGACGCCGAGTGGCCAATGCGATCGCACTGCAATCTGGTGCCGGAAGCCGGCAGTGCGTTTACTGGCCAGAGGGGGGCGACTGTGAGCTGGGAGTAGACAGACACCACCACAACATATAATAATAACAACAATAATAATAATAATAATCCTTGTATTTGGTATCCAAAGAGTATCCACATCAGACTTCCCGAGAGTTCCACAGGAAATGTCTGCAATGGAATGCGCACTCTCTCTCTCGCTCTCTCTCTCGCTCTCTCTCTCGCTCTCTCTCGCTCGCGCTCTCTGTGCCCCTGGAGGGACCATATCCTGATTACCTAATTCCGGACAGGATTAGGCGCAGTGTGTGGCCGCTAGTGTGAGTGGCCGGCGCTGGCGACAGGCAGACAAGGTACATCAGGCACTGAGCTCTGACGGCCTCTCCCGTAGGTGGGGGACTGGGGTGAAGAGAGGGCGACTCCTCCAGAGGATCCCAACACAACGGGCAAGAGCTTACACGTCACAAGGAGACGATTTAATAGCGTCAAAAAAGGTAAGGAACGTACGTCCTGGTTGGTCATGTCCCAGTACGGTCTCTCCCCATACGACATCACTTCCCACATGACTATACCATAGCTCCACACGTCACTGGCTGAGGTGAACTTCCTGTACTGAATGGCCTCTGGTGCCGTCCAGCGGATAGGAATCTTCCCACCCTGTAACAGAGGGAGAGAGAGAGACAACGGTCACCTTAACGCAGAGCGAGAGACGCTTGACACTTTGCATCCAGTGACAACAACAACAGACATGTATTTACACGGGGCCCTTTGACGTTTGACGCAGTGCAACAAGGGCCTGACCTGCACCCCAGCTGGTCTGATGGGACTGCGGGGAGCGGGGAGGGGGCCAGGCCTGAGCCACTGCACACAAACCCGCGTGGAGGACAGGCGACGGCTTTATTACCAAAGCACTTGTGTAGGTCGGATCCGAGGTATCGTCCTCCAGAAACCGGGACAGACCGAAGTCGGAGACCTTGCAGACCAGGTTACTGTTGACCAGGATGTTGCGGGCAGCGAGGTCTCTGTGCACGTAGTTCATGTCTGAAAGGTACTTCATCCCCGCGGCGATGCCTCGCAGCATCCCCACCAGCTGGATAACCGTGAACTGCCCGTCGTTTTGCTGACGAGAGAGAGAAAGAGAGAGAAGGGCGAACTTTTACACACTGAACGGTTCCCATTTGTGCCACTTCCTTCACATCGGGAGGACATCCCAAAGTGCAATAATAATAATAATAATAATAACAATAATAACAGCCCCGGGGTTTGACCCGGCGCCTGATCACGTCGTCGAGACGTCTCAAAGCGCTTCATGGGATACACTGTAAAGTGTAGTGACTGTGTGTTTTGTGGGCAAAACGCGGCAGCCAATTGCGCCCAGCGACGTCCCCACCAACAAGTCGTGGATTGAAGTGACCGAATCATTATCATTAATATTATTATGTATTGTCTTTCGGCGCTTTAAGACGTCTCGACGATGTGATGAGGCTCGTTCAGCTTCACCCAAAGCACATAACTGAGAGGGCAGTAACTAAAGCGGGCGACGGGATGTGTCTCACCCGCAGGAAGGAATCCAGCGATCCGTTCTCCATGAATTCTGTGACGATCATGACTGGCGTGTTCTTGGTGACCACTCCTTCCAGGTGGATGACATTGGGATGGTCAAACTGCCCCATGATACTGGCCTCGCTCAGGAAGTCTCGCCGCTGCTTCTCGGTGTAGCCGGATTTCAACGTCTTGATGGCCACGAAGATCTCCCTCTTCCCCGGGAGCTTCAGGTGGCCGCTGCACACCTCCCCAAACTCACCTGGGACAGGAAGCAAAGCAAAAAGGGCTGTTGTTTCTCTGACAGCCCACGTGGGCGACCTCTTCCTCTCTTACCCTCAGGGATGTTCTTCACAAGATCGGTTCAGATGAAGAAGGCCTTTCAGCCCATTTCATCCCATCCGCCGACAATACGCGGCCTACCGTAGGAACATAGGGAGGCCATTCAGCCCCCCCGAGCCTGTTCCGCCATTCTACTAGATCACGGCTGATCTGTACCTCAACTCCAATTACCCGCCTTTACTCCATATCCCTGGATACAGTGACCTCACAAATATCTATCCACCTCCGCCGTGAACATTTCAATTGATCCAAAACCCACAGCCTTTTGGGGGAGAGAGTTACAGATTTCCACTGCCCTTTGTGTCAAAATCTTCCCAACACAACATTCAGTTGTTTTTTAAGAGCAGTGGAGATGGAGTTCATGGTGGCTCTCGAGAGGGAAATAGATAGTGATACCAAGTCCTGGATGGACATCAGTGATTCCTGGGATCGAGGGTGGAGGCAGATAGATTCGTGCTGGGAGTAATTTACATTCCTCCGGATTTTGGCCACATGCCACGTCACCAAGATGGAGCTCAGAGATTAGAGGAAACCCAGCACTAGGCACTGTGAGGGAAGAGACACAATTTGAGAGATACAGTAAAGTAGGGAGAAGTAGGCTGGAACAGGCAGACAGAGAAAGATGGACAGACAGATAGATAGACGGACAGATGGACAGAGAGATAGATGGATGGACAGATAGCAGATGGACAGATAGATACCTGCACCAATAACCTGCTCTATCTTCACACTGGAAATCTCAATCTCTTTCGCAAATTCTCGCACGGCCTCATTGGGATCCTCGTAGGTGAACGGGTCAATGTAAATCTTCATTCCCGGCGCCACTGCAATGAGAAGCAACTTCATTCAGTGTTGTCACGAGCTGGTACAATGTGTGGCACACAGCCCCTCACACAACCCCTTACAGAGCCTCTCACATAGCCCCTCTGACACACACACACACACAACCCCTCACACAGCCCCTCACACAGCCCCTCATGGAACCTCTCACACAGCCCCTCACACACACACACACACAGCTCCTCTCACATACACAGCCCGTCACACAGCACTTTCTCTCGGGGCCGGGAGTCAATGTGAGGAGAGCGAACATTCGCCCCGGGATCTGATAATCGCTCCGAGACACACAAAATACACAGTCACTACACTTTACAGTACATCCTGCGAAGCGCTTTGAGACGTCTCAACGACGTGATAAGATGCTAGATCAAATGCAAGGATTATTATTATTATTATTATTATTAATATTATAACCCTGCGTGAAGGACATTATGTAAATGCAAGTTGTTGTTGTTGAAGCCCAATTGACTATTGAACCCTTTGCACTCACGCGATCAATGTGACATTTGGTGGTGGGGATGGGGGTGGGGGTCGGGGAACAGGGAAGGGGGGGTGGGGGTGGCGGGCCGGAGGGCGGAGTTCGCTGGGAGGGAAAACGAAAGAAAACGAAAGAGAGGAAAAGTAAGTGAAGCGGAAGCTCACACGGCCTGGCTCACCCGGCTTGAACTGCACCTTCTGCCGGCTGAGCGTGGAGCGACAATGCAGCTGCTCGAGAAGAGGTCCGTGGCTCAGCTCGTCCTGTCCACCTGCAACAAGGAGAGAGAGAGAGAGAGAGAGAGAGAGAGAGAGAGACGGGGAAAATGGGGAGAGAAAAAAAAACAACTAGAAAAACGTCCGCCGTTCATTCTCCCCCAAATCCTTCGCACGAGTGAATTAACCCGGAGTTGAGGGATGTAACCGTCTTAATAATGGAAGGGAACTTCGGAATAAGCAAGGTCGGGGCAGGGTGTGTGTGGTGATTCCCAACCCCCAGCTCGGGTCCAAATCCTGACTGTCCAACGCCTTGGGACTGTGCCGATTGTCGGATGAAAGGTTATAATACTTCTATGTTAATCCGAGGTCCCGTCCGGCTGTTCGGGAGGACGTTTAAAGTTTTCTTGCGGCTATTTGAAAAGAGAAGGAGTCTCTCCACTGCGCTGTCCTCACCAACAATCCCCCAAACTAAATGGATCATTTCACATCACAGCCTTTGGGGGATAAATCGCCAGCTGTACAGTAGGTGGTGCCATTAAACTTATTATAATAACAATGAATAATAATAATAATAATCCTTGCATTTGATACAGCGCCTTATCATTGAGACGTCTCAAAGCGCCTCACAGAATATACTGTAAAGTGAATTGTATGACATATGTTTATTATATCGCGTACTTTACAATGTAGTTATGGACTTCACAGATATTTAAAATATGTTGTAAAGTGGAGTTTTGCCCGTGCAGTATTTTAATAACCCCAAATGGCCCGAAATGTCACCACGTCTTAGCCAGATAGGATCTCTCTACGCTGGTCATTGTGAGGGGAAGAGGACTGGGTCCAGTGGTGTGTGCAGTGCCCACCTTCTATCACCAGAGGGAGGACTGTCTATACAGCTCATGGCTGTTTGGGACATCGCTGGGCACAAATGGGCTGCCACATTGGCCCACAAAATACACAGTCACTACACTGCCAGTGAAATCCCGACATCTCAGAGTTAAGGGAAACTGGCTAAAAATCTAGGGAACGTTGGCGCGCAAACCAAGAGGTGTAACGAGAATCAGAGGCTGTGAAAGTGGGGAACGCACAACAAGGGTTTGGGAAAACACAAAGAACCAAGAGGGTGACCTGGGGAGAGAGTGGAGGGGAGAACGAGGAAATGGGAGGACCTGCCAAGCAGACCTCCGCTGCTGGGTTTACATGAGAGGGTGATGGGGCGATTGCGGTAGAGGCGGGTGGGGGCAGGTGTAAAGGGAACAGTCGTTCGACATAGAGGTTGTCGCAACTTACACAGTGGACAAGCTGCCCGAAGCAGATGGGGTCCATCCCAGATAACGGAGGGAGGTGAAAGCCCAAAGACTGGGGCAACTCTGAGTGAAACCATTCATCAGTCTTTAACACCAGCCAACATTCGTGCACTATCACACTATCCTCCAGACATTTTTTCTCACTTCAGTTCCACCTGCACCCCCGCACAGCAACACTGGATCAGGTTCTGAGTGAAGGGCAAGGGCACTGATAGCCTTCCTTCAACTGACTGGTAACAGGCTCCAGTCTTTACCGTAATAATAATATTTGATACAGCGCCTTATCACGTCTTCGAGACGTCTCAAAGCGCTTCACAGGATACACCGTAAAGTCAATTGACCGTGTATTTTACGCGTGAAACGAGGCAGCCAATTGCTCACAGCAGCGTCCAACAAACAGTCGTGGATTGAGGGGTCAAATTATTATTATGATTAGTTTTTTTACGATGCCAAATGAACGCGCGCGCTGGAAACATTTGACGGAGCTGCCCTGTCCGTTAAGCAGTTTGATGAGCGTAGATCGATGGAGCAATCTGCCTCTGGCTCTGCCTGTCTGTGGGTGGAAGGCGACTGCTGTAATATTTAGCGCTGCGGGTTAATTCCCGCACACTCACCGTGACCGCTGGTGTAATGCTGCAACTTGTCTGTGTATTCAGAGTCCGCTCTTTCAAACCCTCGCCTTCTGAAAAGGGGAGCAAAGGAGATGACACATTCAGAGCATTCTTCAGCGCGCGGCAAGACACAGAGCAGCTTGTTTCACATCTAACATCAGTGCTGGTGACTCCTGTCAGAGTGCGTTAGTTGGGCCGTTTACTCAACACTGGGGGTGCATCAGCTTCCCCCCACAAAACAAAATCACTCAACAAGTTAAAGGGTTAAAGTGAGCCGTCAAACCCCTCACAATAGATCTGGTGAAACCCCCCCACCCCCACCCACCCCCTCCAAGAGGGTGTGATTTCTCCTCTTGCAACAAGCGCCACTCACCTCTGCCCACCCCACCCCCCCCCCACCCCCCCACCTCTCTCAGGTAACCTCAAATCATTGAAGCATAAAGTCTTACAGCAAAGAAGGAGGCCATTAAGCCCATCAAGCCTGTGCCAGCTCTTTGGAAGAGTCGCCCAATCAGTCCCCCACTCGCTCGCTCTTTCCCCAAATCCTCGCAATTCTTTTCCCTTTTCCGGTTGCTGTCTAATTCCCTTTTGAAAGTTGTTATTGAATCTGCTGCCACCAGCCTTTCAGGCCGGTTATTCCAAACCATAACAACGCTCTGCGTAAGAACCTCCCGTCTCTTTTGGTGATAGCCTTGCGGGATCTTGTAACTTTCGCCTGAGCAGCGGCCGCGGGTTTCAACGAAGACAGGATCTCCGACAACGCCACGGTCCCCCAGCTCCGCGCTGGACAGTCAGCCCGGGCTGTCAGCTCAAAGCCCCGTAACGTGGGGCCCGTGAACACACGAACGTCTGACTCAGAGGCGAGAGCGCGAGCGAATGAGCCAGGCTGACACCCCAGCGACTGAGCCAGGCTGACACCCCAGCGACTGAGCCAGGCTGACACCCCAGCGACTGAGCCAGGCTGACACCCAGCGACCTAGCCAGGCTGACACATAGCGACTGAGCCAGGCTGACACCCAGCGACTGAGCCAGGCTGACACACAGCGACTGAGCCAGGCTGACACACAGCGACTGAGCCAGGCTGACACCCAGCGACTGAGCCAGGCTGGCACACAGCAACTGAGCCAGGCTGACACCCAGTGACTGAGTCAGGCTGACACCCCAGCGACTGAGCCAGGCTGACACACAGAGACTGAGCCAGGCTGACACCCAGCGACTGAGCCAGGCTGACACCCAGCGACTGAGCCAGGCTGACACCCAGTGACTGAGCCAGGCTGACACCCCAGCGACTGAGCCAGGCTGACACCCAGGGACTGAGCCAGGCTGACACCCAGCGACTGAGCCAGGCTGACAAACAGACTGAGCCAGGCTGACACCCAGCGACTGAGCCAGGCTGACACCCAGCGACTGAGCCAGGCTGGCACACAGCGACTGAGCCAGGCTGACACCCAGCGACTGAGCCAGGCTGACACACAGCGACTGAGCCAGGCTGACTCCCAGCGACTTAGCCAGGTTGACACCCAGTGACTGAGCCAGGCTGACACACAGCGACTGAGCCAGGCTGACACACAGAGACTGAGCCAGGCTGACACACAGTGACTGAGCCAGGCTGGCACACAGTGACTGAGCCAGGCTGACACCCAGTGACTGAGCCAGGCTGAGACACACACAGCGACTGAGCCAGGCTGAGACACACACAGCGACTGAGCCAGGCTGAGACACACACAGCGACTGAACCAGGCTGAGACACACACAGCGACTGAGCCAGGCTGAGACACACACAGCGACTGAACCAGGCTGAGACACACACAGCGACTGAGCCAGGCTGAGACAAAGCTGGCGAAGCCAAATTAAACAGAAGCAAAACCATGTTTCATAATCTCTTTGTTCTGAATAAAATTCACAGATTCACAGTGGGTGGAGGAAGAACGAGGAAAGGAGGGATGTGGGGCTCCTGGCCTCGGGATAGAGTGCCGGCTGATGGCTGACAGGACAAAATGAGGGAACATATAAGATGAGGTTTTTGAGATAAGCTCCTGGCAACTTAAGTTTATATTGTTTATATATAATGTATTCAGGTGAGCCCCAGATGCTCTGTCCAACTGGTGCGTGTAGGTGTGTGTGTGTCTGTGTGTGTGTGAGTGCATGTGTGCATGTCTGTGTGTGCGTGAGTGTGTGTGTGTTTGGGTGTGTGTGTGTGTATCTGTGGACACATAGTGAGCTGAGCCTCCGGGATCTGAATGGCTCAGCACTACACTGGGGAGATGGAGAGCAAAGCCAAGCCATCGTCATGTTCTGGCAGATGGTTTCAGGCCGGTATCTTTGGGAAGGTGGGAACAAAGCATCGCTTAACTTGTGAGTCAGAGAAAGGCACAAGAGTGACATCGGAATCTCAGGAAACATGTTGTTCATAAAGAAACCTGGAGAAGATCCTGAAGAAGAAGCAGGGATGGAGGTGCTGAGGGATGGAGTGACTGAAGGAGGGAGGTGATGAGGGATAGAGGGTGTAATCTCCCCAGGGGCTGAGGTGCTGGGGCAACTTGCTCTCGTATAAGGTTCTCCAGAAGCTCCCGCTCAGCAACTCTTAACATACTCCAGGCTGTGCCATCAGAGGTCAGGACCTCAGTGCCGTCACCTGTCAAACACAGGCCAAGGGCAGAGAGCGAGTGAAACACAATCCAGGCCACGGAGGGGAGTTTTACTGTGAAGCTCAGCCTCCGGGTTTGTGATAAGATCTCACACAACAACTCAGTGCCCCCTTCGCAAGGATTTCCAGGAACTGGCTTCCTTAACCCCAGCAATAAGTTGCATTGTCAGCCCGAGAGCTCCTTGCATTTATATGGCGCCTTATCATGCCTTTGTGACGTCTCAAAGCGTTTCACAAGAGTATACCGTAAAGTGAATTGACTGTGTAGTTTGCGGGTGAAACGCGGCAGCCAATTGCGCACGGCAGCGTCCCCACAAACAGTCGTGGACTGAGTGACCAATTTTTACAAGAATTGAAGGGATTATTACCCCTGGAAAAGTGACCCGCCAACTGACTAACAACAGGGTTCCTACTCACTGCTGGGTAAACAGAGGCGTGTGTGTGGAGTAAGGAAATGGGAGGAAGGGGGCTAAGCATTATACAGTGGATGTCTCATGGCCTCCAACATAGAACCTGGGTCCACCTGCGGGAATCAGCTGTTGGTTTAACACAGTGTGTTGACTGAGTGTTGGTTGGTGACAATGACAAGGGAGAGGCTGTGGATAGAGTAGAGTTGGGGAGCTGGGAATTTAGACCTGGGAGCCTGGAAGGATGGACCTTGAAGCTGGAAGCTTGAACCTTGTTGGAACTGGAAGCCTTGGTCTTGGAGCTGGGAGCCTGGGCAGAAGATGGGTGATCTGTGGGAGTTAGCGTTAGGTAGAAAGGAGATAGTTAGATCCTTGTAGTCACACGGGGATGTCTGAAGGGGAGGAGTGTGGGATTCGGGGAAGGTTAACACCAATAAAGGAACAGGGGGCGGGTGGTGGGGGGGGGAGTTTAAGGCACAACGGTTCCGTGCTTGGTGATGTGAACTCAAATGGAAAAGTCTGTTCAAATCAAGTCAGGTCTCCTCAAAGCTACATATCACAAGACATTTCTTATTGGGGGTAAGAAATGACAGTGTGTGGTGCTGTGTCAGGCAGCTGCACATGGAAATATAATAATAATAATCCTTGCATTTGATATTTGAATAGTAATGTTCCCCCCCCACCTCCCCCCCACCAACCGCCGGCTGAATACACACACACACACACACACGTGCAGACTGAGCAGCTACACACACACACACACAGGCCGAGCTGCACCGAGGCGGAAATACAACAGCCCCCAGCGCGGAGGAGGGGGAGGGGGAGAGGACTACATGCAGTCGAGCACAAAGCGGTCGGTTCACTGGGGGCTGTAAGCAGCTCCAGTAAGAGATGGTCACACAGACACAGAGAGACACAGAGAGACCGACACACACGCACACACACAGACACAGAGAGAGACACACACAGACACAGAGAAACACAGACACAGAGAGACACAGAGAGAGACCGACACACATACACAGACACAGAGAGAGACAGACACACACACACAGAGACACAGACACAGAGAGACAGACACACGCAGACAGACACAGATACAGAGAGACAGACAGACACACACACACAGACACAGAGAGACAGACACACACACACAGACACTGACACAGAGAGACACCGACACACAGATACACACAGATAATAATATAATAATAATCCTTGCATTTGATATAACGCTTTTCAGGTCTTCTCGACGTCTCAAAGCGCTTCACAGGATATACTGTAAAGTGAATTGATTGTATGTTTGTGGGTGAAACGCAGCAGCCAATTGCGCACAGCAATGTCCCACAAATAGTCGTGGATTGAAAGTGACCAATTTATTATTGTTCTGTTTTGGAGGATTATTATTAGGCTCTGTGTGGAGTGAGGAAACTTGCCCAAGGTTTCGCCCTCTGCCTGGAACTGAACTCAGGTCTCTCACTTGCAAAGCGAGTGCTCTAACCACTGAGCTACAGGACTCCACAAATACACAGACACACAGACACAGAGAGACACAGACACAGAAACACACACACACACACAGACACAGAGAGAGACACACACACAGAAACACGCACACACACACACACAGACAGACACAGAGACTGTAGTTACATTGGCACTCGGAGACTGAGTACTATTACAGTCACAGAGACACAGACACAGAGTCACACAGACACAGAGACATACGCACACTGTACAGTTACCGAGAGACTGCACCGTTACAGTCAGAGAGACAGAGAATGTACAAGTACAGACGGAGAGACACCGAGACTTTAGTTACAGACAGGAGACAGACCCTGTACAGGTGAGGGCATGGAGACAGAGACTGTACAGTTACAGAGACACGGAGACAGAGTCTCTGTACAGCTCTAGACGATGTCAGGCAAGTGTCAAACAGCCTCTTTGGTCGTGTTGCTGTGGCTGACGCGCTGCTGTGACACAAGAGGCTGAGAGGGAAGAGGCAGTTTACTGTCCACAGGAAGAAATGCACAGGGTTCACACAGAGAGAATGGACACACATCAGTCGGTCAGTCAGTCAGAGCTCAGACCCCGAGACCGTTACCTATTGCAGACGATGATGATGACCACGACAGCGATGATGAAGACGAGGCCTGCAGCGGCTGATCCGATGATGAGAGGCAGCTTCTCCTGGATGCTGGTCTGGTATTCGGCTGTAACAACAGCAAAGAGTCATCAGAGAACCCGACCGACCGCTGGAAAGTCATCAACCTTTTACAGCTATTGCGTCAGCCCGGCTCGGTCGCTGCCTCTCGCCTCCGAGGCAGAGGAGATTGTGGGTTCAATTCCCCAACGTCGGGACTTTGAACTCACGTAAGTCGAGGCAGACACCTCAGCGCTGGGGGTGTTACTGCTTTGTGACCAGTGCCATCCTTCAGCTGAGACGTTAAACCTATCTGTTCAGGTGGATGTGAAGGAGCCCTTCAGACACGAGGAGTTTCTCCCCGTTTCCTTTTCAATAATAATATCAAAAATAATCCTGGCATTTGGCCCAGCGCCTCATCACACCTCAAAGCGCGTCACAGAATAGACTGTAAAGCGAATGGACTGTGTATTTGTGGGCGAAACGCGGCAGCCAATTGCGCACAGCAGCGAGTGTCCCCACAAACAGTTGTGGAAAAATCGGCTCATTTGATCTTGGGCCAAACTCCCTTCTCTCTCCGACCAGCCCGTGGGATGGTTGACGTCCACCCTGAACAGGGAGACAGGGAGCTGAAGGACGGCACCAGTGAGCGCATCGCATGGGAGACTCAACCGAAAGGGTTTCGACGGCAGACGTACACACCTTCAGTCATGGTCTGGAAATACATCTTCCCGCTGTAACGTCCGAAACCAGCCACGGTGCGAGCTCGCACTCGGAAAACATAGATGGTTCCTGCGCGGAGGTGGTGGATGGTGGCTGTGTTAGTCTGGATCTTCACTGTGGTCGAGTTGTACTCCGATTGGTCCTGCACACAGAGAGAGAGAGAGGGGGAGAGACAGAGAGGGAGAGACAGAGAGGGAGAGGGAGAGAGGGAGAGACAGAGAGGGAAAGAGGGAGAGACAGACAGAGAGAGAACCATTTAGTTTATTGTGCGTATGGAATTGGTTACTTCCGGGGATTTGATGCTGTTGGGGACCTGGCCTTTCACCTGCCCGTGTGCACTCACACACACAAACACACTCACTGTGTGAATGTGTGTTGGTGCGTGAGTGTGTGTTGGTGTGTGAATGTGTGTTGGTGTGTGAGTGCGTGTTGGTGAGTGAGTGCGTGTTGGTGAGTGAGTATGTGTTGGTGTCAGTGAGTGTGTGTTGGTGACAGTGAGTGTGTGTTGGTGACAGTGAGTGTGTGTTGGTGACAGTGAGTGTGTGTTGGTGACAGTGAGTGTGTGTTGGTGAGTGAGTGTCTGGTGGTGCGTGTGAGTGTGTGTTGGTGAGTGAATGTGTGTTGGTGAGTGAGTGTGTGTTGGTGAGTGAGCGCGTGTTGGTGAGTGAGTGTCTGGTGGTGCGTGTGAGTGTGTGTTGGTGAGTGAGTGTGTGTTGGTGACGGTGAATGTGTGTTGGTGACAGTGAGTGTGTGTTGGTGACAGTGAGCGCGTGTTGGTGACAGTGAGTGTCTGGTGGTGCGTGTGAGTGTGTGTTGGTGAGTGAGTGTGTGTTGGTGAGTGAGTGTGTGTTGGTGTGTGAGTGTGGGCGAGTGTTGTCAAGCTGGTGTTGTATTCGAGTGTGCATACACAGCATTTGGACAGGGAGCAGTGGGCAGGAAGCTGAGGGACGGGACGTGTGTAGTGGGACGCATTTACTCCGGAATTCACTAAATCACTGGATTCTCAGAGAAAATTACTTTTCGCCTCTTAATCAGACGAGCAGCTGAGCTTTAATGGCTTCAGGTGCATTACATCTCTGTTGGCAGATCTGCCATCACATAATCCCCTTCATGTAGGTCACAACCTATTTTTCCTCGGCTTCGGCTGCTTCCAATAGGACTCGGCTCTGGGACTGTCTAACACAAGAGGCATCAGCTACACCGTGACACAACGGGCAGCGAGTGCACACACCGGAGGGGGTAGACCTGAACAGGCAGTCGGGACCTCAGTTTAACGCCCCTTCTCTGAAGGACGGCACCTCCGACAATGCAGCTCTCTGCCCCCCCCCCCAGCGCCGCACTGGTCAAGTAGACTATGTGACCTCCAAGTCCTGACGCGGGGCTGGAACTCACGATCTTCGGGGTGTAATTAATAACAATAATCATAATAATTATTATTATTTACACTTGCGATTTAAAGAGCAGCTCATCACGTCGTTGAGACGTCTCAAGGCGCTTCACAGGATACACTGTAGAGCGAATTGTCTGTGTATTTTGTGGCTAAATATGCAGTCGATTCACATGTAAATCACAAGTAAAAGGGAGGAGTTTACAGCTGCCCTTAATTAAGTCATAAGAACACAAGGGCATAAGAATTTGCTGGCGAAAGAAGACCAAGGTCCATCTAGTTCATCTTCCACCATCCTGGCAGTCGCTTGACATGTCGTGGCCCCAATAAATAAACAGACGGTTGTAAAGAACTCTCTTGTTTCTCTGTGTCGGGTTTCCTACCTTCTCATAGTGCTGTAGCTCATAGTCCAGGATGATGCCGTTGGGCTGGTCGGGCTGGGACCAGGACAGGGTGATGCTCTCCACAGTGCGACTGACTTGGTGCATGATGGACACAGCGGAGGGAGCTGTAACAGGAACAGACGCAACAATCAGCAAAGTGCCACAACCCCAGCCACAGCCCCCCACCCCACTCTCCCCCCTTTCTCCCCACCCTCCCTCAAAGCCTGTAGAATACACTGTCAGGCAGTCGCCCACTTACCCGGTGACAATCCCCGGGCCACGCTGTGCGTCCGGCGATGCCAGAAACGGCAAGAACATCTCGCTGCCAAGATTTTACACAACTGTTGATCCTTTGTTTTTACTGACAACTCACACACAGCCTGGCCTGGATTACAGACCATTAAACAGACACAATTTAGTGCCTTTAAACACTGGGGAACGTGTGTCGAAACATGGCAGCTGTACCTGCCCAGGATTCAGTGGGGGGGAGAGAGAGAGAGGCGCGAGCTCCAGTCAGACTCAAACCCTGAGCCGACTCCAGTTTACGCAGGAGAATTGATTCAGCGGCAAAGCTGATACACACGGGATTAGTTCCCAGTGAAACGCTGGCACTAATAAACCTCCCGGCACTGGTTCTGTCAGCGAGAGGGCAGGTCACAGCCACGCGGACTGACTCACATCAACTGCCTCAGCCGCGTTTGGCAATCTGACCCCACACGGATCCAATTCCGAGCTGGGATTAAGCTGCCGGTTCTCCGGGCAGTCGCTCAATTAGCTGCTGGGTCCAGTTTGATCTCTGCCCCCAAAATCTGCTCTGCTCAGTGCTGCCCGGCTGGGGAACACCACACACACCACTCTGCCCCTCACCTGCGTCTACGCACAAACCCATCCCCGTATCCACACACACGCACACATGCGCACACGCACACAGGTGCACACACACACACACACAGAAAGACACACACACACATACTCCCCAAGCTACTCACGCCCATATCGGATCGCAATGAGTTCACTCACAATAATAATCATTCTTGTATCGGATTCACTGCAGTGTCTCATCACATCAAAACATTTCGAAATGCCCCACAGGATTTACTGTCCAGTGTAGTGACTGTACTTGTAAGCAAACACGGCAACTCATTGGTGCACAACATTGTCCCACAAACTGCTATGGAGTGAATGACCAATATTATTGGGTGGGGCGGAGTGGGGTTGGGTGGGGGGGGGGGGGGGCAGAGGGGTAGGAGGAGAGGGGGAGGGGAGGGGAGGGGGGGAGGCAGCAAAACAAAATCTTTACCTTTGTGGGTTTTGCTCGAGTGGTGTCCAGCATCTGGTCAGGTGGGGGAGGGGCGGGACAACGAACAGGGAAGAGAAAACAAAACCAAAACTGAGTGGGATGAACAATGGTATCACAGCACGCACACGCACACACACACACACTACGTGTGCACACGCACACACGTGTGCACACGCACACACACATACGTGTACGCACGCACATGCACGCACGCACACAGGATGGCACAAAGACTAGGACAATGTAGGCAAGTCCACGGCAACAACAACCACAAATTTCATTGATAAATCGCGCCTGTCACATCGGGAGGACGTCCCAAGGCGCTGGACAGTGAAGGGTTTGCACCCGAGCTGGGGGTTGGAATCAAGAGGGGGGGGGGGGGGAAGGCACGGTCAAAGAGGCCTTGATGGAGGCCAGGGGGGGGGGGCGAGGCGGGGAGGCTCTGGGATGGAGTTCCAGAGGGTGGGGTTTGCGGGGGTACAGATGGGACACTTACACAGACCACAGGCGTGAGCGTGCATTAAAAACTATTTCCTTCCCAGAGCCGAGTTACAGGAAGCTTGGAGCTGGCTTTCCTCAGGAGATCACGAATGGTTTTGGAAACAGAATGCGAGGTAGAAACCTTACATTTCTAAGACAGCTGGTTAATACACATGTCATAAATCTGAAACCCGTGGTAGCTTCGGCGTTGAAAAGCCATCCCTCATGTTAATCCCGTAACATTCAGCAATCCACTGAAACCTGAGGCCGGTCGGGATCCAGGTTCCCAAGTGGAGCTGGACAGACCTGCCGAGAGGGGAGTGTGGCAGCCCCTGATGTGAGCTTCTCCGGTCAATGCTCTCGCCAGCGCCACAGGGACACAGCCCTCGCCAACCACCAGCCCGTTGGTTACACTGACAGAGAAAAACCTCTTGCAGCGACCAGAATTGGGCTTGTTATTAGCGAAACCTTCGCAAGATGGCAAGATACCTTGGGATGAGGAAGACCCTTCGGCCCATCTGATCTCATCAACTCCAGAACTTCCAGCCCTACCCGTCTCCTCTCACAGCCACAGTCATTGATTACCCTCTGGTTAAAGAAAAGCTCCTTGATGTCTGTCCTGAAATTGCCCTAAACCTATAAATAGAACCTCGTTGAACTCCCTCCTAAACTACTGATCTGGGTTTACTATTTTAATCCCATTTTAAAATGTTAGGGACACCCATTCGTCATGAAGCGTAGTGACTGTGTATTTTGTAGGCAAACGCAGCAGCAGACAGACACACACACAGACACACACACTGACAGACAAGACACACGGACCTGAAGTGAGCCACCAATGTTATCCTGCAGATTTGCCCCAAATCCTGGAGGCTCTGATAACTCTTTGTGACTAGAGTTTGTGGTGGGGTGAGGGAGGGAGGGATGGCTGGAAGTTTGTCTGCCAACCGCACTGCTGGGTGAGGACAGGTTCAATCAGCAGCTTGTTCACTAACTGCTGCCTGTGTTTGGGTTGGGTCTGGAGTCCGACAGTGATTTCAAGTGATTCTGGGATCACGCTGACCGCCAGCTGTCACTCCCTGACCTGTCCTTAAAGAGTGACTGAGCGAGTGACTGAGTGAGAGCGAGGGGTGAGGAGAGAGCCAGACAGGCAGCGCTGACTCTGGCACAGATCAAAGCCTCGGGATCCCACTCTGGTCTGGAGGGAATTCTCGGATTTTAATCAGTGGTCGGTGTTTTTTTTTTAAAAAAAAGCACTTTGTTCCTGAGGTCTGTGGCTTATGAGGTCTGCGCTGGTCTGTGGCAGAGCGCGCGTGTGTGTGATCGTTCATTCATTTCATGGCTGTTTGTGAGACGGGACGATGCTCCGTGTCAAATGCCGACACCATACAGTCACTACACTTTACAGCAGATCCCGCAAAGCGCTTTGAGATGTCCTCCCACCTTGAAACCCGATGTTTCGAATGCAAGGATCAGTGTTTCACCCACAAAGTACGCAGTCAATTCACTTTACAGTGCATTTTGTGAAGAGCTTTGAGACGTCTCGAAGGGGTTGATATGTCAAATGCAAAGATTGTTGTTATTATTATTATTATTATGATTATTCACGATGGTTTGACTCGCTGTCGGAGCTCAGTGAGTCAGGAGATGGTGGTCGAGGCCGGTTTCACAGCCGGGGACGAGGGCTGCAGTTTACATTAAGCCTCCGCTCGCTCGCTCCCTCGCTCGCAGGAAGCCGGATTGTCTGTTCAGTGTCCCTCGGGTCCACTGAGCCTGATACGATCAGACAGATGGACTCAATCAAAGGCACTGCTGGAATCTCTAGCCCAGGAGATGCCGTGTGGCTGGGGCCGAGCTGAGCTGAGCTGTGAGCTCTGCCGGGTTAGACTGTCTGTCGGCATTTCGCCCAATCGCACACGGCTTAACCGTTCGGTCAGGTTGCGATTCTAATTCTCGACTCTCTCTCGTGATCGGAAGAGTCACTGCAGTAAAACCTCACGTCAGCCGTGTCAGTCAGGACCCGACACTTAACATTCCCGGGTTCTGGGCCGCTGCCCTGTGCGAAGGGCGCTCTGTACTCTCAGGTTCTTGTCGTTGTTGTTCTTGTCCTAATACGATTTACGCAAAGTATGAGTAACGTCAAACGTGCAAAGAAGATAAACTCTTGAGCGGGGTTTGGGCAGAGGTGCGGTTTAGGCCATTTTACCATTGATACACATCAGACTCCTGACAGTTATACTGAACAACAAAAAAACCTGCACAATCACATCCTCCATGTCCCCAGGGAGAGAGAGGCAGCCGCGTGTGTGTGTGTGTACATATGTGTACGTGTGTGTGTACGTGTGTGTGTACGTGTGCGTGTGTGTACGTGTGCGTGTGTGTACGTGTGTGTACAGCCTCTGACATGCTACCCATGTGAGGGTGATCTTTCTAAATGCAAGTTGTTGTTTGAGGGACGTAGTAGTGAGCAGCACAGTGTGTGAGTGTGTGAGGGACGCAGTAGTGAGCGCCACACAGTGTGTGAGTGTGTGAGGGACGCAGTAGTGAGCGGTTCACAGTGTGTGAGTGTGTGAGGGACGCAGTAGTGAGCGGTTCACAGTATGTGAGTGTGTGAGGGACGCAATAGTGAGCGGTACACAGTGTGTGAGGGACGCAATAGTGAGCGGTACACAGTGTGAGTGTGTGAGGGACGCAGTAGTGAGTGGTACACAGTGTGTGAGTGTGTGAGGGACGCAGTAGTGAGCGGCACACTTACCGGCCTGGTTGGTAGTGATGTTGACAGAGGAGTACTGGGGGGAGTAGGGGCTCTGGTCGGAGACGCCATTGACAGCCTGGATCTCGAAGGTGTAGCGAGTGTGAGCGAGAAGGTCACTGATGTACACGTGGGGCTCGGCCAGACCCAACTGCCGCGGCACAAACTGCACGTTGTCCCCACAGCGAGTGCAGCCCCTCCTCCCGGCTGTGCAGCTCTTACAGATCACGTTGTACACCACGTCCTCCCGTCCCCCCGTCTCCCGCGGTGACATCCACTCCAGGCTCAGAGACGTCTCGTTCACGCTCGAGATCACGTTGCGGGGAGAGGATGGTGTGGCTGCACGGACACAGGCAGAGGAGGGGTTAATGGCATGGACCTCAGTCAGGACTAGTCAGCCTGGCACAGGGGCACGTGTGGCACTGAAACAGGCAGTGGGGTCTAGTAGGGGGCAGTGGGGTCTAGTGGGGTGCAGTGGTGTCTAGTGGGGGGCAGTGGTCTAGTGGCGTCCAATGGGGGCCAGTGGGGGCCAGTGGGGGGGCAGTGGGGTCTAGTGGGGGGTAGTGGTCTAGTGGGGTCTAATGGGGGCCAGTGGGGTCCAGTGGAGTCTAGTGAGGGGCAGTGGGTTCCAGTGGGGTCCAGTCTGAGCTGTTGAGCTGCAGTTGTGAGATCCTCACTCTATCAGGTTTACAATGGACACTGCTGGCTCTGCCATGTGCCAGCCTCTGCTGCAGGCCGGCCTCTGTGCCCGGCCCACCCTGCGCCCCCACCCCAGCGTGGCGGTCTTGGCCCGGGCTAGCTCAGCCCCAGCCGGTGACGGGGTAGCACTGAGCGAAGAGGGGGAGGGGGAGGGGGAGGAAGGAGAGAGAGGGGGAAGGAGGGGAGGTGGGGAAGGAGGGTAGCAGTCTCGCTGGGAGTGGCTGGGGTTGGGGGAGAGAGCTGCTGGTTCCCGATGCCTGAGCCATCCTGCGGAGGGCAGTGTTGCTCAGTCACTGCAGACCTGCTCCCCACAACGAGAGCCAAACCCCCGCCTCCAGGGGTGGGGGGAGGTAGGGGGGACATTGATCAAGTCCGTTATTAACAGCATGTTTATGGTTTGTTTGGTTTCCCCCATTGTAAGTCTCTGGGACCATGTCCCTTTGTAACTCAACTGATCTGAGAAACAAGACGACAAAGCTGGTGTGTTAATTACACCGGCTTTATTACTCTGGTTTACGATCACTATCTTCAGAGGGTTTAGCAACGCTCCATCCTGGTGGGTCTCTTTTGGACTGTATTGTTTGCCAACAAGATGAATGAGCAGAGTTTGTGGATGTTGGGCGTGAGCCCAGCAGGGCAGGTGTCGGGCAGCCCGGCTCAGTCGGGAGCACTCCTGACTCGGGAGTCAGAAGATTGTGGGTTCGAGCTCCCACGGGGGGACATGGAACACCCCCCCCCCCCCCCCCGCACCCTAAAACCTCTCCAGCGCTGTGCTAGGGGAATGCTGCGTTGTCAAGAGATGTCAAAATACTTTGCGCGCAAAATATACAGTCAATTCGCCTGACAGTATATTCTGTGAAGCCCTTTGAGACGTCCTCCTGATGTGAAATGTCCTCCATAACTTTACATAAGTCATACATGATATCCATAACTCATACTTTGCATAAATCACATTAAATGGTTAGAGCACTCGCTTTGCAAGTGAGAGACCTGAGTTCAATTCCAGGCAGAGGGTGAAACCTTGGGCAAGTTTCCTTACTCCACACAGAGCCTAATAATATTCCCTCTAAAACCAAAACCAATAATAAATTGGTCATATTCAATCTATGACTGTTTGTGGGACATTGCTGTGCGCAATTGGCTGCTGCGTTCGCCCACAAATATACAGTCAATTCACTTTACAGTGTGTTCTGTGAAGCGCTTTGGGACGTCCTCCCGACGTGAAAAGCGCTGTATCAAATGCGAGGATTATTATTATTATTATTATTAAATGTTATGGTACCAACTGACACAGTTTATACCAGTTTTAATGTACCCAATGTAAGGGTTATTATTGTTATTATTATTGTTATTATTATTGTTATTAGTATTGTTATTATTACATTATTACTGTTATTATTGTTATTATTATAGCTATGATGGTTATTATTATATTACTATTGTTGTTATTATAGTTATGATGGTTATGATTATATTATTGTCATATTATTGCTATGATTATGATCAGACTAATGGCACGTCACGGCAAGCGGCTGATAAACTCACTGGTGCAGGGCATGGCCGGGGGGTCATTGTCGCTCCGGTAGTAGCCATTGCGGCAAACGCAATTAGTTGCCCCTTGGGAAGTGGTCCGGCTGTTGATGGGGCAGTTCATGCAGAACTCCTCACCCTGGTTTGCTTTAAATGTCCCGGATGGACAACCTGTAACATGGAGAGGAGAGGAGAGGAGAGCGGTGAGAGAGCTCAGGCTGAGCATCCGGTATCACACGAGCGTCACATGGACAGTACATGTGTGTCACATGAACAGCACACAGAGATCACATGAACTTCACACAGAGATCACATGAACATCGCACAGAGATCACATGAACATCACACAGAGATCAAATGAACATCGCGCAGAGATCACATGAACATCACACATATCATATGAACATCACACAGAAATCACATGAATATCACACAGATATCATATGAACATCACACAGAGATCACATGAATATCACACAGATATCATATGAACATCACATAGCATACACCACGGTGCATCATATCTGTATCACATGAACAGCAAACGGGTCCCACACAACAAATCAACACCAATATGACATGAATATGACATGAATATCACACGGCATAATAATAATCCCTGCATTTGACACAGCGCCTCATCACGTCTTCGAGACGTCTCAAAGCGCTTCGCAGGATACACTGTAAAGTGTAGTGACTGTATATTCTGTGGGTGAAACGCGGCAGCCAATTCCGCACAGCAGCGTCCCCACAAACAGCCGTGGATTGAGTGACCACATTTATTTTAGTGAGGGATTATTACCCCTGGAAAATCGATCTGCCAATTGACTAACAATCGGGTTCCTACTTATTGCGAGGAGGTAAGGAAACCTGCCTAAGTCTTTGCCCTGCCGGGAATCAAACCCGGATCCTCTGGCTTGTGAGGGAAGTGCTCTAACCGCTACGCTCCAGGATCTCACCACAGGGTCGACTTCCAATACTCCACCCACCCAACTCCAATCCAGGCGTCCACTTGCCCTCAAGCCCTTTCCCACCCTTTGCGCTGAGGTAATTGGTGATAACCATCACCTTAATGTTTCTAGTGTCCTTGTGCAGACTGATTCCATAGTGTATTGAGTGATGCCATCAGTCTCTGCAAACACAGGACAAGCGGATGGTTTGGTACAAAGCAAACACATTGCTCCTCTCTCCTCATTAAAGCCTGATGTAGTTCAATTCCGACACTGTTTGCTTTAGCTGCTTCTGCTGAGAGTCTGGTCCCTTGAGCAAAGTGCTGTTTTATGACAGATATAAAAGACATCTCGAGGAGTCCTCCGCCTTTACACAGCGCTCCTGACGACCATCTGGCTCCAATTTCTAACCAAGATGTTCCTTTGCAAACGATGTCCCTTCTGGACTGACAAAGACGTCACACAACATTCCTCCTCACGATAGGAGGCTGTTCGAACCGTTGTATTTAATAATATTAACGATACCTGCGTTGGATACAGCACCTTTCACGTTGGGGGGGGGGGGAGTGGGGGGGGCGCTTGGCAGGATTTACTGTAACCTGCACCGACTGTATTTTGTGGGGGAAATGTGATACTCAGTTACTGCGCTGCCAACAGCTGTGGCCCTTCGAGCAATACAACTATTTGAACTCAAGGGTCTGTTCTCAACACTGACAGCACTGATGAAATTCTCCGCCACCCTCCCCCCCCCCACACCCACCCACCCCCCCCCCCCCCCCCCACGCACACACACAAACGATAACATGGCAGATTTACAAATGTGAAGACAGAGGAAATCTCCTGCGAGAACCTGGGAAATCCTCGCGGGTTCCCAAGGGAGTGATTGTTCGGATAAAATCAATGATGGCCATTTCCTGGTGGGCAATAAGAGGTGCTGCTGTGTGCAAATAGGCTGCTGCGTGGTGAGGTCTTCCCCAACGTGAATCGGTTGCCGTGTTCATCACAGGGCGACATTATTATTGTTATCTCTTCTGGGCAGATTGACTCGATCAGCCCTCCTCAGCCTGAGCTTGGGAATTCCAGGCATGACATTCCCAACATTCCCAACGCCACATCGCAAACCTTTAATGGGACCCACCAGGCCTGGACTTTAATCTAAACCTAAGCCACGATGCTCTCTCCAGAGGTTAAGTCAGATGAATCTTGTGATCTTCATTCCAGCACATGGCCTCCCAACCCTCGTCATAAAGCAGGAATGTGGCCACAGCTTGTGTTTAACCCCCACCCAATCCCCCCCCACACCCTCCACCCCCCCCCCCCCCCCCGTACGTTTAAACATCTACTTAAGCCACCGCTATCTGAAAGATCAAAGTCAGCCTGATAGCACTGCTCCACAGACCAACTCTGCAGCCACCACTGCGAGCAATAAATAAGAACCACTGTGTACCGGGGTGGAGGGTGGATGGTTCCAGAGGTATTTGCACCACGTCAGGCTGTGGGGCAACTGCCGGCTGCAAATATCCCGTCACAAATTCCCCGATAAAGGCAGCAAGATGGGAGACTGCCTGACAACCACTGGTGTGAACAGGATAACCTAATAATAATAACAATAATAATCCTTGCATTGGATATAGCGTCTTATCACGTCTTCGAGATGCCTCAAATGTGCTTCACAGGATATACTGTAAAGTGTAGTGACGGTGTATTTTGTGTGTGCGATTTCTGGGCAAAACACAGCAGTCAATTGTGCACAGCAGTGTCCCACAAATGTGGATCGTGGATTGAGTGACCCAATTTTTGGGGGAGGGAGGGATCATTACCACCAGAAAGTGACTGTGTTATTGTGTTCCCTGGTAAACACAAACAACGTAATATGTTGGCTCTATTCCCTGTTCATCCTCATTATCAACTCCCTTTGGGAACTTTCGGATTTTGACATCTTACTGGTAGGTGAAAGATGAAGACATTATGCATTGCATCTGCTGCTACGGTCCCATCTCAGTTGTCTCTTGGTTCCCCTAATCTCTTTTAACCTCGTTCTGTACAGTCTGGTATTCCACCAGCTGTGTGACATGTCCCCCGAGCACATCCCCGATTGATATGAGTGGGTTATCACAAATGCTGAACCTTTAAGAACCTTCACTGAAAAAGTAGCTTATCCGGTGTAAGTGGACCTGAGTGAGTGGTGTTTGGGTAATCTGTTCGCTTACAAAATACACAGCCACTACACTTTGCAGTATATCCTGTGAAGCGCTTTGAGGTGTCCTGATGTGAAAGGAGATGGAGGGACTATTTTTTTGCCATTTTATGTACGTCATTTTATGTATGTTGTTGTTGTTGTTGTCAGAGGTGAAGGTGCGAGCGAGAGTGAGAGTGAACGGGATTCACACACCCAGAGCTTCCCTACCCAGCCCCGCCCTGCCTGTCCCTGCCCAGCCCTGCCCTGTCTTGCTCTGCCCTGCCATGCCTTGCCCTGTTCTGCCCCGCTGTGTCTTACTCCGCGCTGCCCTGCCTGTCCCTGCCCTGTCTTGCTCTGCCCTGCCATGCCTTGCCCTGTTCTGCCCCGTCCTGTCTTACTCCGCCCTGCCCTGCCTATCCCTGCCCTGTCTTGCTCTGCCCTGCCATGCCTTGCCCTGTTCTGCCCCGCCCTGTCTTACTCCGCCCTGCCCTGCCTGTCCCTGCCCTGTCTTGCTCTGCCCTGCCATGCCTTGCCCTGTTCTGCCCCGCCCTGCCCAGCCCTGACTGATGTTCCCACAGAATACAATCTCCATCCATCACTGTCCAGTTGCACTTCTCTCAACTCCTACAGAGAATGTGATAACACAAGAGCTCCCAAGAGGACATCATCAGCATTGGCCCTCCGTCAAACAAACAAACAAACAAGGAGAGGGATGGACACTGTTTGTCCTTGTTTCAATCTGCGCTGAGTATAAACCCTTCAGCTCCGCAGCACTGAGCCCATTGCCAGGCCTCGGGATGCTCGCGTCACTGTGTATAATACCATGAACCTCAGAACCTGCTTTGGCACTCCTCGGAGGAAAGGAAAATCGCTGCTGAAATCAGATGGTCTTGGGTTAAAGTGGGTAAAAAAGCACCAAATTCAGTGCATTAAACACGTGGTCAAGAAGTATCTTTGCCGACAGGACGAGTGTGACAGTGTGTGTCACTGAGCTGCTGACTGACACACACACACACAGACACACACACTGACACACACACATACACAGACACACACACTGACACACACACACACTGACACACACACACACACACACTGACACACACACACTGACACACACACACACTGACACACACACACTGACACGCACGGACACACACACACGTACACACACTGACACACACACTGACGCACACTGACACACACACATGCACTGACACACACACACTCACAGTGACTGACACACACACACACTGACACACACACACACACACTGACTGTGACAATCACAGCAGCAGATCTCAGGCTGTGACAGTCAGTGTTATTCCCCCCGGGGGAGGAATCCGCAGTGACCCGGTGGCCCTGACTCACTCGGCGGCCACTGGCAGCTCACACGCTTTAATTTAATTAGATTGTGAAAGTGATTATTCCGACCCTGACCCGCGCAGTAATGTGAACCGCACTCGGATCAGAGACGTTCAAACGGGTCATTCATTAGAGTCACGGTGTATCCGAAGCCTGATTATCAGGGCCAACGTTTCCCTTTACTGACGGACCTTCAATCTATCACACCGTCCGCCACCACCTCATCTCATTTCTCTCCCTCCCTCCCTCCCTCCCTCCCTCACTCACACCTCAACTGCATTCAGACTCAGGGTGGGGGTGGGGGTGGGGGTGGGGGGGCGCGGGGTGGGAGCACGGAGAAAGAGGTGGGGGGGGAGGTGGGGGGGAAAGAGAGAGAGCGCGGTGTGCGCGACCGTAAACCCGACTGTGGACACCAGGAAGCCACCCGCACGATTAATGGCAGAAACCGTAAAACACCATCGCCCGAAGCCGTCGGCAAACACTGATGTCATTTCAGGCTTCAGTTGGCAATTTACAAATGTGGTTCAGGGACCAGAGACCCACAGCACAGGCCGTGTGTGTGTTAGTGTGTGCGTTAGTGTGTGTGTGTCTGTGTGTGTGTTAGTGTGTGTGTGTGTCTGTGTGTGTGTTAGTGTGTGTGTCTGTATGTGTGTGCTAGTGTGTGTGTGTGTGTTAGT